CAATCGCTGGTCGGCCAGGCCCGGGGACTGACGCACGTGACCGGGCGACCCTTCAGATGACCCGTACAAACAGCGCGGTGGAAGTCATGAAGAGCGACTGCGCAGTGTCCGCCGAACTTGGTGTGTGCGCTTTCGCATGGCCTTCAGCTTGGCTTAGCGATGAGACGATGCAGACAGGAGCCATTTTGTTAGTTTGCATAAGTGATGCATGGCTGTGACTCGTCTGTATGTTATGCTCTCTGAGGCGCGTCAAATCGCTTGAATCAGCGTGTAGCCCACCGACAGTCGTGATATTTCAGTTACAACAAATTCACAGCTTCGAGCACTTCGTCCAGTTTTATGCTGCTTTGTGCGACATGCCGCCTGTGACTGGCACGTCGGTTGGCGCGGCGTCCCGCGCGTGACGCGCACGGTTACCCGCGAGCGATCCGGCTCGGGCACATTACGTTAGTAGGTGTACTCGCGTCCAGCGCATGAAATCGTATGTTCTGTTCACATGGGTCGGTTGGTTACAATACAAGCCACAGGCACATTCGGTTCTGTACGTCGTACAGCCCGTGATCGGTATCACAGAGCTCTTGGGCAGCTGGGGCCGTTTTCTGCGTGACGGTGCGGATCACTTTCTGGCATGTCATGACGCATGTCACGCTCGCAAATGCTTGACAGAGCTGCGTCTCGTCTCAAATACGCCAGGCACTTAGCGCCATCAGGCAGGAAGGAACTTAATGCGCGCTGCGACGTTAAGACCGTTGGCGAAACGCTTTCTTGTATTAAAATAATTTTGTTCAGAATTAAGTGCCCACTTTTAGATCGCGCGCCCGGTTTTCAAAACATGCTTGAATTACCTGCATTGACGTCATTGGACACTGACCCCGACAAACGACGGTATGTCTGGTTTCATCCCCCAGGCGCACGCGTTGAGTTGGACTGACCCTATTCGACAAACGGCCAAAGCCGCTTCTCACTGGGCGAGGCCTGGCACCATGTCAGACCGCCCACCTCAGTGTGGAGCTCCTCCCAAAGGCGCGGTTCGCCGCCGTCTGCTCTGCGCCGTGTATTGACGGTGGGGAGACAGGCTTCCTCCGCCGGAGGGCACCACCGTCGCCGGGGCGGGCCCAGGCGGTACATCGACGAGTCTACCGGGACAGTCACGACAGATGGCCGGGTCGGGCCGGACGGCACTAGCACGGGGGCGTCACGTGCGCTCTACAGGTGCGGAAGCGGTGCTGGCGACGCGCGGTTTGCTGTCGGCCACGCGCCAAACGGGCCCGACCAGCGAGCGCCGTCGTACCAATCTCCTGTCATTCTCATGCCTCGCCACTCAGAGACCGGACCAGGACCGGAGCGTTTCGCGCGCGTGCCACCGCGGTGCGTTGTCAATTCCGGGCAATTTGTACTGAAAACAAGCCTGTCTACGAGCGGAGGGTCCGACTGGTCTCTGGGCGCCTCGGGCGTTATTGCGAGTGGAATTCCCTTCAGAAGGAGGCCGCCCGCGCACTCGCACCTGCGCCACTGCACGAAAGACACGGAACGCCAGACGGGCGGCGTGACCGCCACGCCGCGCGCGACGGCTCGCCGGGCGTCGTCCGAGAGCTGAGGTCAGGTCAGGCCAGGCCTGAGGGCTGGGGTTCGGCGGCCAGCGCGCCCGGCGCCGCTAGGAGCGCCGGATGCGCTTGGTCCGGGGTGCGGGTCGCGCGGTGCCGGCGGCCGGGCCAGCCGCCTCCTCATCCGAGTCCGAGTCGCCCTGCTCGTAGGGCTGCGGCAGGAACGACGGTCGCGCCAGGCTGGTGGGCAGCGTGCCCTCCTCCCGCGCTGGTCCAACGCCCGGACTGCGGAGGCGGACGGAGACGGTCAACACGGTGGTGAAGACATGGCAAGCACAGGCTGAGGGACGGGCGAAGATAGGGCCACATGGCCAGCCGAGCAAACACCACACGAACTCTCAGGAAAAAGGGAAAAACGAACTTGGAATGGCATGGAGATCCATGTCATGCCAATGACATAGACCTGGACAGGACGGAACGCTGGCGCAGTCGGGAGACACACATGGAGATCCATGACATCGCCAATGACAAGGACCTGGGACAAGGCGGAACGCACAGTCAGGACAGCCACGACCCACGCAAGAGCAAAACTTGACGTCTGCAATGTTTACATACGCCATAAGAGTGAGCAGTCGGGTTGCCAGCTGGCGAAGGATCGGCCGAGATGGGGAAGAGAAACATATATTTCAGCAGCTAACCTCGTCGCCACAGTAAGGCCGCAGTCAGATAGCCGGACAGTGCTGCCAATAGCGGCCCGCGGTTTGCCGGCGGGCCGAAGGGCACAGGGCGCGCCTGAGACCACATTCAACCGTCCCCAGACTCACTCTGCTCCTCCAGCTGGCTGTTCTGCTGCCGCAGGTCATCAATGTCCTGCAGGTGAGCAGAGTTCTTCCGCCGCATGAACTGGATGTAGTCGGACGCCTTCTTCAGAATCTGCGCTCGACTCGACTGTGTGACAACGTTCGGCACGATCAACGGCAATAGATCAAAACCGGGCAGATAAGACAGCTGATAACCAAGGCTAGCCACGGTTCTTGTAACGCAGCGGTTCTTGTAAGGTCAAACAGCCATACAGGCCATCCATGAGCTAAATGGCATCGGAGCACCCCAGCGGCCCTGAGAAACGCGCCTTTTTCCAAACGTGACAAACCAGACTTGTATTCGACTCAATTTTGTATCCGGCTCAATTTTTTATCTAGCTCCGAACGGCTCACAGATATTATGATCCCATCCAGGTCAGGACTCATAGACGTTCCACATTTTGTTGACTCAACTCAGCTCACGCCCATGGCTTGCGTTGAATCACTTGTCCCATGACTCACACAGCTTGTGAAATCAAAGATCCGACTCAGTCCTGGCTCGTTGCTTCATGACGCCAAAACCATGACTTATTCGTCTATATATGGCTGTACACATACACACATATATATATATATATATATATATATATATATATATATACAATACCAGCACACACACACACACATTATATATATTATATATATCTATCTATATAATATATATATATATATATATATAGATGATGATGATATTGATGATGATGATATGATGGATGATGATGATAGTGATTGCATGACCAACATATGATATATACAGCTGTATTGATGCAATCCCGAGGACGTCACATCCGCGGACACACAATCGCAGTATGAGGGACAAAAGGGCATACTCCACATGGCCGTTCAAGTCGTGGGTGACGTGGTCAGGTGTGGATTAATCATGTTGTGACAATTGACCACGAGAAATAGCCAATGTATTTATATACAGCGGACACAACTCATTCACTGATTTTTAGACATAGGATATAGGAGTGCCAGGGTGCCGGTACCAAGCAATATACTCTGGTTCCAGACTGAGATTCGGCAAAGCTTCAGATCTGGACAAACAATATTGTGAATGATTGCTTTGAAATTACAATAATAAACTTTGTGCCGATTTTGCGAAACGGCTTCATAATTAATGTCGCATACTGTTCATGTTAACACTCTGAAATGGACTGCTGGCTGTCTGAGGCGAGCCGTTTCTCGATGCTACCATTTAACTTTGACCAATATGGCTTTGTGACACAACATCGTGATAAAAATGATCAGTTTATGATTCAGCTCATGACACTTACGAATATTGTGATCTAGCACACGGCTCAAAGCGGCATTGTTCCCAACGAGCCAGCTCAGCTGGCGGTTTACGCCTAGACAACTGTCTCGTGAGTCCATTCACACCATTCAGCCCGCGTCGAATACTAAAATGTTTATTGTTTGGAACGTAGGAAAGTGTCCATGTTTATCTTTATATTCAGTTCGTCCAATATGATTAAATATGTCGTCAAATCTGAGTGGATTAACATGTAAAATCTATTTCTTTCAGTTACAAACGATATCAGTATTTGGGTAAGACACCACTTAATGCCTTATTCCTCGCAGTATAACCAGACGAATGGATACAGACGGATTGATATTTCGGCTCCATGCTTTTATCAAAACAAATATCCGTGGAAATATTCGTTATTGTTATTCATGACTACTGGTACTCGTTTTGATAAAGGTATATAGCCGAAATATGAGTAGATCTACCTCTCCATCTTGCTGGTTATTCTACGATGAATAAGGCTATCAGTACCATCTCATCTATACGCATAATTTCCCGTATGCACACATACAAACTCATGAAATGTGTTCATACGATACCAGTTGTTCAAGCAGTTTATACCAGTTCAGAAAAAGGAGTCACGTGGTCCCAGACTCAAACGGCACCGTGACCCCCTGACGGCCCATTGACCTTTACACAGCACCCTTCCTGAACAGCCTTCCTCTAACACGACGATGCCGTGGGAGCTCAGGCACCCGAAGTGGCACAGCGATAAGGGAAGTACCGCAACAGGACCGGAAACCGAAGACAAGCTTCCAAAAATGACATCTGTTGGGGCTATAGGATGAGCTTGTCTGAAATCCCTACTGAAAGTTGGGTTGTTCAATGCAAAATACAGCCGGAAACGTCGTTAGTAGGTGCGATCTACCTACACATATCCTGCTCAGGCCAAATGGTACGTGATAAGCACACAGATTACGACCAAGCATCAAACGTGCTGCTATCTTCGTCAGAATCGGCACCCAGAGCGCACTGTCCCGTGCTCTATACACAACAGCGGGAACACACGGGACATGATGCAAGCTCCCGTCCCGAGTTCGTGGTGGCCGAGGTGGCGAGATCACGCCACGTGAAGGGGGCGGGGAGGGGGGAGGGGGGGGGGGGGGAGCGCTCACCTTCTCGCCCTGCAGCGCCGGCACGGTATCGCGCAGACCGCAGAAGCTATCCTTGATGTGGTCTCGTC